CCTGCCTTCGGTAAAAGTCGCTGTAATTTTTTCTTTTCTCTTGAAGCTTACACGTTGTTTTCAGATTCTTCGAATTGGTTTTTATGAGATTGTCAAGCTCGATATGCCCTCATATGCAGTTGTGGATGAGGTAAGTGGATGGATAAAATTCTGTAAGTGGAATTTCTTGTTATCGGCAATTTATTTCTGCACTAGTGATCGTGAAGGTGTTTACCTGAAAAGTTCCAGTTCAACAAATTATTTGTAAGTCGACATTTTCTTAATTGATTGATACATCCATGATCGTGTTTATTATGTTAAGTGATGTTACATGACTACTTCTGGTTAGTTATCTCAAATGTTCATTCGTCATTTTGTCTCTGGTCCTTGGGTTTCCTCTGATTTTTCCTTTTCTCAAGCTTTTATAGCTACATTGGTAAATTGATGGTTTGCGGTGATGCTTGAACTTCTTTCTTATTTGTATTTCTTTTACTTGGGTATGGCAGAATGTAAAGCTTGCAAAGGCTGCATTAAGACTTGGTGCTGGTAATATGGTTAATGCGCTTTTGAGGAAGCTGGTGTTGCTTAAGGTCAATCATTTTCTGTTTATTATGCTCCACTCTTAACTTTTAGCCATGACACTATTGTTTTTTTTCTATATTTTTGAGTGTCTACAGGAAAAGAACTCACTCCCTTCACCAAAAGTGGATGGTAATGACAGGCAGCAAGCACGTTCTCTAGCCATCATCCATTCTCATCCTGTTGTGAGATTTTTTTGTCACATTTTACCTTCATTATCTGATTATATCTTTGTTGATCCCTTTTGCTGTTCTTTCGCTCTTTCTGGACAAGTGTCCTCTCTTTTTTGGTCTTGCGAGGTAAAATTTCAGTTTGAGTTCAAGCACCACTATAATATGAAAATGTGAGTGCTAAGCAAGCTGACTAGGAATAAGGATTAGAATTTTATCTGTTTTGGTTGTATATATGAATATAAAAGTTTAAATTTTTTATTTTATTAATTTTTCATTACTTTTTTATTAGTGGATGGTGAGACGATGGACTAGATACTTTGGTCTTGAAGAAGCTATCAAGTTAATGATGTGGAACAATGCTGATCCTTGTTTCAGCCTCAGGTTTCTTTTTTTGTCTTTGAACATTTTGTTATTAAAAGCAGAGGCCCATTGTTGCTCATCATCTCTTGCAATGTTTCAGAGCAAATACAGCTACAGGATTCACACAGGCTGATCTAGTTATGGAACTTGAGAAGTTGAAGGTTGTCACTTCTTTTAACTCTCTCTCTCTCTTTCACGTGCACACAAGCAACTGCACAAAAAGGCTCACTTCTCGAGCATGTGGGGATAATAATTTGTGAGATCCTGAGAAGTATGACACAACATTTACATGTTAAATGAGACTATTTGGATTTTGCCCTAGGTCTTTTATATCTTAGTATACCTTGCAAGATAAATGAGTGGTATATTAACAATTCAGTTTTCACATTCTTTTTTTTTTTTTGGTCAACCTTAGGTTCCATATGAACTTTCTCAGCACTTGGATGATTTTGTCCGGATCAGAACGGGAATGCAGGTGCATGACTTTTTTCTCCATTTACATGCAACATTGAACTTTCATTTTCCGTTGTCTTAATAGTTAGTGGTAGAATTTTAGCGCGCTATTTTCAAATAGTAAGAATGTTGTAAATATAGCAACATAATATATCTTCATCTCCTTGGATGTGATATTAATCATATAGGCTGAGTTGGTGCATGACTTCTGTTTTTGTGGCATAAATATATCCGTGTTTAACTGAATGGCGACCCCTAGAGGAACTCGAAACTATAATGTTCGTTCAAAAGAGGATAAAAAAGAAAAAGAAAACCATTTTATGATTGTGGTTATTGCAAGAAACTGATAAAAACCTATTTAATGTTTGTTTGACTTGTGAGCTTTGGTCATTCCAAACTTATTTTTGTTTCAGGCTGTCATACAGGCCGGATTACTCAGAAAAGGTTTTTGTTCTGTCCAGGACGAAAGTGCCGGTAATCTCTTGTCATATAGCTTCTATGGGTTGTTATTTCATTTTGGGTCGGTTGAAAAGGCGTGTACCTCCTCAAATCTTGTTTTTCCATTTAAAACACATTTGCATAGTACTCCCTGAAGTCGTTCAATTTGCAGACATTTCCAATATATAATTTATATGATTAAATCTGATATCCTAATAATGTTGGAACTATTTGTGGCCCTCAACTATTTTGTGATGCAGGAATGGTGGTTAAGGTTGTGGATCCAAAGCCTGGGGACAATATTATCGACTGTTGTGCAGCACCAGGAGGAAAGACTCTTTTCATGGCTTCACGTATGGATGGCCAAGGTATATTTGTGCCGGATGTTAAACCAGTTACTCGAGTGAGCTTCATTAAATATATTAAGGTTTTCAGCTAATTGAAATCTATATATATATATAACTCTCTTAAAAAGGAGTTGTTTATTGGAAAAATTGGATTGTCGAAAATGCTTACGCTATTACTATTGTAATTTTATCACGTTAGGGAGTTAGAATTATTAATAGTTATATTCATTTTTAAAACAAATTTTGTGCATCCTTCTTTATTTTTATTCTTTGTTTTATATATGATCTTATTCAATTGTTATTATATATTTATTATGTATTCAAGAATTTATTCTTTTTTTTAGTTGAAATAAAGGCGTTAAGATTATCTAAGCAAGTATAGGAATTAAAAAAGGCAAGTATAGGAATTAAAAAAGAAAAAGAATAGAATAACACTTAAGGTAATTGATACATAGTTAATTTTTATATTTCTTACGTTATATGAGATCATTAATTTTTTTTTGGATAAACCAGTTTACATTTTAAATATTTTCTTACTTATATTTCAAATATGAAATTATTCTATACCTAATAAATAATAAAAGAATATTATATCAATTTATTGATACAATTTATGATGATTATCGGCCTGCATGGACTACGTATTAATTGTAGATAAAAGAAGCGCCAATTTTATGAATTGTGCTGTTTCTTATTTTATGTACCCCAGTACTCCTGGAGTAAATATTAATATTGTAAGAAAAATTGGTTTTGTACCGATTTAACGATTTTATTTTTCGTAAGTAGAAGACTTAGGAAATTCTCAAAACCTTTTTAAGGTGAATGAGAAATTAATTCTAAGTGTTATATGTTAATTAATTGAGTTTAAATAACTCAAAGATTGTAGGGTTCACAAACATTCTGTTTTGACAAATGTTTGGACAAACTAAACGAGCCATAATTATGCATTATATATGCTAGTATTGTACTAGTATTGTAGAAGGGCTCGTAGGGGACAAGTAGGAAAAAACGGAACTCGATTCCGAGTCCGTATGAGCTCGTACGAGCCCGTGGCGCACGGGCGCGCAACTGGCTGCGGAAATCAAAGGGTTGCAACCCTTGGTGACCATAAGGTATTTTTTGACCACTAGATGCATCCGTTCTCGTACGGGCACGTCCCAAAAGGTGTCTTTTGACACTTAAACCTCTTGGAGGTGTTTCCCTACATTTATAAATACCCACAAACATGAAAACATCTATAAATACCCACAAACATGAAATCATTTAGTACATGAAATTTTTCAAGAGTCTTTGCATCCTTTTTACAAAGTTCATATTCATCTTGTGTTCTTTGTGTTCTTTCTTATCTTGAGAGTTCCGAAACTTAAGTATTGTTCGTCGAAGGTTTGTGTATTTGAGTTATCGCTATACACAAATCGAAGTCGTTGTATCTTGGAGGCGTTAGCCGTGAACCGTGGGTAATATACGGAGCTATTTAGTCTTAAGGAGAGCGTACCTTACGTGCCTCGACTTTGTTCGTTTCGTCATTTTCCTTCTGATTTCTTAAGCCATTTTTGATATTCACATACCACACTAATAACAAATATAAATATGATCACTTATCTCTGTTTATGATGCGTTGGAGAAAAAACGGATTACTTTTGTTGAACAAGGCTTTTAGTCATTATTTATTTAAGAGTACAAATACAACTTAAGTCAGGGTCAGGCCACAAAGATCTTTGTATTTCAATGGTGATGTTAAAGAGTAATAAGTAATAAATTCTGTATTATTATCAGGCTGCATATATGCAATCGACATAAACAAAGGCCGACTGAGAATCCTCAATGAGGCTGCCAAGCTGCAGCAAGTCAATGATATTATCACACCTATCCATGCTGATCTCTGTGAATTTGTGAGGAATTGTCATACTCTAGTAGAATTATTTTAAATAACAAATATAATTCAATAATATTCAACCGTGCTTAACTAACCAGGACAATAATGGTAAGAAAGCTGATAAAGTTTTGCTGGATGCTCCTTGCTCCGGATTAGGAGTTCTGTCAAAGGTACAGGTGGCAAAGAGCGTTTAATATGGGCACCTTTTCATAAATGAAATTTTATTTTCTTGGAGGAATTTCATTGCTGCATTTGTTTATATGAATTTATTAATCTTGTTCTGTATTCTTTTCTTTTTTTCTTTTGGGTTCCTAACTTAAAATTTAAGTCTTCATCTTTATGAGTGCAGAGAGCAGATTTACGCTGGAATAGGAAAGCGGAAGACATGGAACAACTTAAAAATTTGCAAGATGCACTTCTTGATTCAGCTTCCACGTATGTAAACCAGTCTGTGTGTTTGTGTTTTTTTCTTTACGATAGGTGAAAACTGCTGAATAGTTGTAACAAATTAGCCTCCGCAACTATTTCCTACTATAATTCCCAATACAGCTTTGAACATGCAGTGTGGAAAACATATGAAAAGCATTTTTCTTTGAAACGAGATTTGATTATGCTATTTGCAAACAAGCCATGACAAAAAATTATATTGCATCCTCCAGCAGAAATGAGACTCACTAACTTCAGTTTGTCGGAATATATATTTTTAATACTACTCTTCCATTACGTCGAGTAATTATTTGCTTTATGCCTGACAGTTTGGTAAGGCCAGGCGGAGTACTGATATACAGCACATGTTCAATTGATTCTGAGGAGAATGAGGAAAGAATAGCTGCTTTTCTTCTGAGAAATCCAGTACTTACCTCTCACTGTTTCTTAGTTATTTACACTTTTATACGAATAGTGGTCCCTTATACTTTTGTCAAAATACACTTTTGCAATTTACATTGAAATGAATATCACTCCTTAGTTCCATTTTTTTTTTTTTTTTTTTTTTTNATTTTTTTTTTTTTTTTTTTTATGTTATTTATCCATTGAAATGAATATCACTCCTTATTTCCACACTTCTTACTCGAACACCTCACTTTCTATCTTTACTCACTACACCTGCCTCTTAATCTTTGTACTATTTCTTTCATCTGTACAACATTATTAAAAATTTTGCATGACGATCACGCTTGCAGGAATTCCAAATAGATCCTGCAAATAAATACGTATCATCCGATTTTGTTACGGAAGATGGTTTCTTTTTCTCTAATCCCGTCAAACACGCGATTGATGGAGCCTTTGCAGCTCGGCTTTTAAGATCTTGCTGACTAATAACACGTAAGTCACTATCCCATTTCTTCCAGGCTATACAAGGTAAAAAATCTGTACAAGTATACAAATGTTTGTTTGTGAATGCAGATTCAGACCATCATATGAGCTATTTTTCTTTTCATAAAAGTTCCGTAAAGTCGACGGCTTTTAAGAGCTCGTCTGATTTCTTTCCTGGCCTGTAGGGGTCAGGCAATATTCGGCCCTTTTTTTGTTTTTTCACAAAGAAAGCTCGACTAAGGGGTGCTTGTTTAAAAAGTGGAAACTCGGGGTTTTATCATTGGACAAAAGCCGAATTAGATTGCTTGGAAAAAGCTGGAGCTTTTGGATCTGAGTCTTTATATGGAGCTTGTCTATGTAATATCTTGAGAAGGGGGAAATTTTTGGTGTTGTTTTATGATCTGAGTTGTATACCATGTTCATGTTCAACTAAAGTCACTAGCACTTGTCAATTGTATTGTGTCTTTCTGAGTTTGTCATAGTTTATTCTCAATTGTATTTAAGGAACTGCTATTGGGTCCCTACGTCAGGTAGCTTTCGTACATGCTTCGTAAATATTTGACAACATGTTGCCATTGAAATAGTGACACATGTCCTTTTAATTCTATAAATAAATTTTCAAAGAAAATTTCATAAATTGAGCTACTAAATTACCTTAAAAAACTCTTGGGAATTTTTTTGACATGGTATCCCAACTTTACCTTAACTTTTGGTTCACTTAATTAGTTTTTATACTCAATATTTCGCATGTTAATCATTCTTGTCAACACCATCAATTTTTCGTTTGTCAAACCGATGTTAGAATACCTGTTGCCACCAAATAATAGTGTAAAATTTAGAAGAAATTTTTTTTGAAAAATATGCAAAAAAATGACACTTCAAATCGAAGGCTCATATGACTCAAAACATCAATTTGATTAAGGGGTATTTTTGCTTACTGAAAGAGGAACAAAATGAGAGCTCACCTATTAAATTTGGACAACTTAGTCGCCGAAATCATTAATTAAAATAATCATCCTGCTATCGTATGCCAATAAAACCTAACAACTTCACCTGCCATTGGAAGGTTTGATCGACGATCATAAGATGTTGGATTCTTTATGAAAAGAAATTTTTGTACATTTATGTTTCAAGAAAATGCAACATCCATCGACATTCCAACTAAATTTTATGTGCATTTCTTTGATTTTATCAAAGCTTTAACAATGACTTGACAAAGTTTTGAAGTATCGTATGATGGAATTAAACATGTCGTTGGGAAGATTGAATCGAGAACTTTGAAATAGTATATAATTTGTTGAAATCCAACATTTGTAGACGAGCAACAATGAATGCTTGAAATATAAATGTATATATAATTATTTCTTACTTTATATATGCAATACGAATGCTTGAAACCGTGAAAAGATAATAATTTAATATATTATATAGAATAACAAATACAAAAGTTATTAAGTTTTAAAACATATCGACAGTTTAAGTTAGTCCGAGTGGCATAAAGATAACATTTACAAGTTTCGTTGTAATCTTCTCTGTTAGTTCAAAAGGGAATTTTAGTTTCAAACCTTGAAACATACGCGAGCAAGTACCACCCTTCAGCAAGAAAATTCCGCAAACTAAGCTTCCATTATTACAACTTGCACGCAAGTTTGTTACTATAAATAATTCTATAGGAACATAACACAGTTGAATCTAATTAATATTCCAAGCATCTTGTTATACATGTATATTCCTTCCATATTTTCCTCTCTAGTCACCTACTCTAACAATAGATTTTGTGGAACAACCAGAAGTAAATAGCACTACGGTCATGGTGAAAATGAGAAAATTAAAACTTTCTAAGGTGTAGCCAATAATTAAACACCAAAAAATTAACGATTGTGATTGCAACGCACAAGAAATTCAACTCATGCAGCCACCTATTTCTGTTTCTGCTGCAGCTTGCGAGGAAGCAGAACTGAACAAAGGAAATTAGGCAATTTATCGTTGGTTAAGAAAAATCAAGTTCTGTTACAAATAAATTATTTTTGTTCAAATTTTACCTTCCTCCATAGAGCAAAAGCTTTCAGCAGGAAATATCCTATCAGGATCCTTTAGCTTTTGCAAGGGTAAAAGCAGAGCAACGGAGCTTTTACTGCAGAAAGAACAAAAATATCCAACCGTTTTTAAGTTCACAAATAAAAAATTGAGGGCTGAAAAATCTTGGATATATCATTAACACATACAGAGAGAGAGAGAGAGAGAGAGAGAGAGAGAGAGAGATGGACGTAACGAAAAGCCAACAAATATATTCAGCTCTCTGTACATTTATTTGGCATCACATTAACACAGAACTCTGCTTATAAACATATGAAAACGATTCCTTGTCTGCATCTCTTATGCAGTATGAGCAAGCAAGAAAATATGAATTTCTCTATCATTTTAAGAGATTCAGGTCAACAAATATATTTAACATTGATTACGATATCCAGTTATATCAATTTACACTACCCCTTTAAAGTATTGCAAACAACTGCAAGCAGAACTGGTAGCTGCTTAATAGATGCAATTTCTAAACTAGAAACAAATTATCGAGGGGTTATTTGCAATTTTCAAAGATAATTTTCCCAGAATAATTTGTCGTTGAAACAATTTCACTGAAGCTTAATGATACTTCCCACAATTAACTCTAATGTTTATAGATTCACAAGTATACAGTATACATCAGGCAATCATCTTGAGCTAGGAGAGTGGGACAAAAGAGAAAAGCTACATGTACCCTTGGGATGATAGCCTCAATTCATAATCTACGTCTTGGCTGAACTAGGGTTCAAATTGTTCTGACATATTCATTAGATCAACTTTGCTTCTCGTGTCCCCATCGAACAGCAAAGCAAATCAATTCTTTCACTAGTTTTAAGAGATTTGTTGACCTAACAAAATCTCTTCACATTACGTGAAAAAGTGAAACTTTTTATGAGCATCTTTTCAGTGAGGAAATAAGTATCACCTGGCCCATGATGGAATATATTTCTTGGTGAGTAAATCTCTTCATATTACGTAAACACGTGAAACTGTTTCATGAGCATCTTTTCAGTAAAAAAATAAGTATCACCTGGCCCATGATGGAATAGATTTCTTGGTGGGTAACTCGTCATCTTCTTCATCTTCATCATCAGAGCATTGGTATGGAGAGATGTCATATGATTTTCCTTGACAATTATTAAAAATCAAGTCCTCTTTCTTGGGTGATTTATCCACAGCATGCACATCCTAGAAAATTTTAAAGCAACAATTTAAGTATGCAAAATAAAATTCCTTTTTTATGTACTGCTGGTAAAACACAATATTTCACTTTCATATATTGATGTCAGATTGCAGATTTTTATTGTTACAACAAATGTAAATACACTCAAAATGAAGCATGCTACAAATAAATCAAATTAAATCTGAAATCACCAAATCTCCAACCTTTCCAACGTCACAAGACTGACCAGAAGTACCACATTCTTCGAAAGTCGTCATGATTTCGTTGGCAGTCGATTTTGTGTCTGCCTTTCCATCTCCTCTAACGATTGTCATTGACTCATGAAGAGATTCCTTCTTGCTATTCATTTGCTCATCCTACAAATTGCAAAATACATGAAAGTTCATTAACAGCCAGGAAAATATGGAAAATAAAAAATATTACCATTGAATTTGTCGTAGACAAGATTTACAACCTTGGACAACTGATTTTCCTTTTCAGCTTTGCTTGCCGTCAGTTTTTCTACTTGTATCCTTTGCCGATATCTCGCTTCATGTCGCATTCTTTTCTTCTCCTTCTCCTTTTTATATTCTTCCTCTCTCTGCCTCTTCTTTGCAAGAATAGCAGCATCTTTTTTCTGGAGTTCCTCCTCTTTCTTTTTCTTCTTCAGTTCCAACTGTCTCATATTCTTTTCCTCCAGCTTCACTCTTTCAAGTTTCAAAGCCTCCTTCCTCTTCTTGCGTTCATTCTCCTTCTTCTCTTCTACACGTTTAGCCGCCTCAGCTGCCTTTAGAGCCCTCACCTTGACATCTCTTTTTCCTACAAGATGTCATGGAGAGGTTGTATAATTTGGAGATTCCAAATTGTTTCCTAGCTTTGATATCAAATTGTCATGGACACATCACATGGTAAGGTTTTCATAATTTTTCACATCTATCACACACATAAGAGAGATGCAATTATTCTATGATCACTTATTATGTACTCTCTCTCTCTCTCTCACTGTGGATAAGTACTTCTTATCTTAAACTCGAGCCATAATTTACAAATTCAAAGTTATAAGTCTACCTATAGAACAACTTTGATGCCTCATAAAAACTCCTTGTTGGCTGATATGATGCATGGAAAATAAACATAAGAAATGGATGATGGAGTGCTACATGCATGCATGCACCAATCTCTTCTTTGCAAAGAACCTGAATCACTTCTTTCGCTTTTCAGCTTCTCAATTGTGATGTTTGTATAGAGGGGTTCAGTATTTTATTATTTTGTAGATGGTTTCTTCCCGCATAACATGGTTATATTTGCTTAAAAGTACAAGTGAGTTTCCTGATGTTTTGGATTCTATATACTGTGAAATGAAAACTTAATTCGGGAGTGTGTAATTGACTACTTTCATATCATCTTCTAATTAAGTTGTTGATGCATTCACTAAATTGACAAGCTAGAAGTGATAAATATATGATATGCATCATTTTTACATGCATTTGAGTGATTATTCGGTATGTTTGATCGAGTTTTCCTGTCGGAAATTGCACATTTTATTATGATTGATTAAACTATGATGGAAGGTTTCTTATCGTTAGTTCTTATAGGAAATATGCCCGAGAACATTATAATTGGATTCAAAACAAAAAACATCGAGAATCAAGGTGCATAAATGCCACACGAGTCGTGTGGAGAGGAGAGCTTGAGGTCCCAACTCTCTAAAGAATCATAAGAGTCGTGGGGCCACGTGCATGAGTCTCACGAGTCGGGTGACGAAGCCTCACCATTCGTGGATTGTGGATTTTTGCAAATTTTCTTTCCTTTTCTCGATGGAGATTCTACATACACGATATAAGGAACTTTAGGGACTCGTCCTATGACACTTTTGGAGGCAAGGGACAAGCATAAGACGAGCAAGAAGACCGTAAAGAGGAGATCAAAGAAGTCGAATAAGCTTTTCCTTTCTTTTTCTTCTCTTTTCGAGCAATAACAGTGTTATCAAATGGTGGCCATGGTGGCGCCACGGCAGCTGGCGTGGCGGTTTTTTGACAATCCGCCATGCAAATTTGTGAAGGATGGCGGTCATGGTGGCGTCATATGCCACCACGGCAGCCGCTATGGCGGAATTTTGGCAAACCCCCATGTACTGCCATCCGCCATTAATAACACTGAGCAGAAATACGATATTACTCGCCACTAACTCTATGTCGTACACTTGCCGCAAATAATTAGCGAACTATAATATATACTAGTTGTACCCCATGCATTTGCACGAAAAACGATATAATAGAAGAGAAAGTAACTAAAAATATAAAACAAAATAAAAATCATAACTTAATAAATGTGAAAAAAAAAAATTTAAAAAAGTGAATCTAAATATTATTAA